GTGCCCCCAGGCAACGGAGATGATCATTTTCTACCCTACTAGGAAGGGCATCACACCATTAAATTGTGACAAATTAGTTTTGGGTTATGTGTTTTACTCGTCCCACGTGGTAACTAAAACTTCTACGTTATTTGATTGCAAAGCACATCAGAAACAGTTCTGAGCATACAGTGGGGCAGACTCGGAGAACAGAGATTGCTCCTTGCTGAACCAGAATCAAGCCTCAAAATGGCTTACACAGGAACATCCTTGCTTGCCTTAGTGCCCTTACTCTGCAGATATACCACCAGGGTCAATGACAGCATTCACCAAAGAACATGCTACTCAGCAGAATTGGGGTTTTATTCACCTTCCGTTGCTACCTGGCCTTTCAACTAGCTGAAACCATCTGAAAAAGCCTGGTCCCACAGATGAAACACCAGAGCAGAAGTCTATGGAACTGTGTTCTTTTCTGGGCTTTATTTCTTTTTTCCTAGGATCATGCAACATCCCTTGTGCTTCCTGTTCCCTTCATTACATTTCTTGAGGTGCTAAACTGTTTGGGGTATGAACTTCTTACTGTATGTACAAACCAACACTTTTCCTCTTCAAATGCAGACTCATTATGAAGCAGTGAACTACCCTAAAGAAGCCATCTGCAGAACTGGAGACAGAAAATAGCCTTGCTGTGCTATGGCTGAATGTGTTCTATGGAGAAACCTGGGCTAATGGCTCAGATGAACTTGCTGTGGTAACCTAGATAAGATCAAAATCTTCACCCATACTTATTTGTCTTTCAGCTGGTACTGCCTGTGTGGCAGCCTAGGCTCCACCTGCTGAAAATGGCTCCTGGCCTCACATCTACTTCTTGGTGTTACTGCAGAGAGCTCACAATATTCACAGAGCAGCCAGCTTGTTCCTGCTTACCATATGAAGATACACCAGAACTGATTCTGGGTTACCCTAATATCTAAGATTAGACAGTTTGAAAAGCGAATTATCACAGCTATTTCAACTGACATTCATTAGGCTGAATCCCTACTTTGCCAGGATGGACTGGCTTCCTGGCATGCTTCTGTCCATGTGATTGAAGTGCCCAGGAACATTTTCAGCTGATACATCAGCAAGGTTTTCATTATTACCCCCGAGCTCAGGAAGTTCTGTTACCCTCAGTCTGAGCTGACGCAGGAGTAGGAACCCAGCTGCACAGCATCCCAAGGGAATGGACCACTAATGTGAAATGTCCTAAGGGAAACGGTTTTTGGTGACCCTAGCGAGTTCCTCGTTGATGATGCATTCAATACATATATACACAGGGGTCAAATGCACAACTGGATCTATCAGCAGCAAATGGCATAGTCCTCTCAAATCAGGCAGCTCTATTGATACCACCGTGGGATCATAGAATCCCAGACTGGTTTGGGTCAAAGGGACCTTAGAGCTCATCCAGTTCCAATCCCCTGCCATAGGCAGGGATATCTTCCCCTAGAGCAGCTTGCTCCAAGCCCCATCCAACCTGGCATTAAAAAATAAAGATATAAACCTCAAACCTTCTCCCCAGGGTTTGCACACACCACCGAGCCCTTCAGCAGTGGCTGGTGGCAGAAAGTTCCACCAGCTGACTTCACACATGCTGGGAAGTATAAGAAATGTAATGAGTAAACTACTGTGGCAAGATCTCCAATTCAACTGCCACAGATGTCCTGATAAATCTCCAAACACTTCGGCAGCTCTCCAAACTCGTGCTGAATCACAAACCTCCTCAAGACCTGCTCCATTTTATTCTGTAAAATTCCATCCAATTTGGACCTTTAGCCATTTCAGACTAGTTCATTTTAAAGTACAAACCGAGTGAAAGGAAGGGGAACAAAAAGTTAGTGACCCACCACCCTGCCATATTTACTCTGGTTAGTATCAGTTAAAAAATGAGCCCTGAAAGGCTGAGTGGAGCTCAGCCGACGTTTTGGAACGTACTGTAATTCCTCAGGAAAACTCTTTGTGAAAAGTAAGCAATATATCCTAGCGTAGAAGCATGGAACCACCATGCAAAACATCTGTGACCTTGCGCAGAGGTCATCGCTGCTGTAGTGTTTCTCTTTACTCTTAAAGAAATGTCAGGCCATTTTTTACACAAGACTTATGACAGGGTGCTGTTTATTGTATCACAAAGCCACTATAACTCCAGCACAAGGAAACTGCTATTATTTGGAGAGTATATATCTTTCTGACTAGCAGTAAAGATGAAAATAAGAAGGGTCCTTTTCAGAGAGAAGTCAGAGTCTTCCTTAATGACACCAGCATCTTCTCCAGGACTGAAAACTGAACCATTACTGGACTGCTCGGTCTGATTAAGGCTCAAACTTTATGCTGGGATTTTCTAGTAGGTGACACGGGGTTTCTGCTTATCTTCCACTGAAAACAGTGCCAAATTCCCGGTTTTTGAGGTCTTTTACATGACCATACAATCACATTAGCCACTAGCCTTGAAATCCCAGCTCCCTTCAGCAGGGAGGTGCCTCCCCACACACACAGAATTTCATGTTGAATCCAATTGTTTGTTTCATGTGGGAAGTGTTGGAGAAAATGTCAAGGACAATTTAGGGCAGAATAAAAGTCATTCCCAGTCACCTCCATTTCCTTTTTACCTTTGTCAGGGAAAATTGCTTGTGGCTTTTTCTGCTAGCTCTGTTCAGTCCTGCCTGAGTACACCATGGGGGCACCAGGCTGTGAGGGCTGCACCTTTTAAATCAGGAGTCTAACTGAGATCCTAACTAGTTGTGTTCACTGAAGGTCCCTCGGTACTTTTCACAAGACTAACCTCTGTATCCTGGCCAAATTCCAGCTCAAGTAATTACAATCCACTTTCCCAAACATCCCTCTTCTTTCCCTGCAGCACTTTCAATTGCATATGAAATTATTCTATTATCTAATTATAATAGTGCCCACAGACTCCTGTCAAGCTTAGGGATTCTGTGAGATGCACACACAGCAGCACACTGTGCAAGTGTTGAGACCTGCAACTACCTCTGAAAGGCCAGACTGAAGAACAGGGTTCAATGTGAGATATAATCCAGTAAGATTAGTATAAGAAAGAAAAGTGCAAGAAAGAAAGTGCAAGTTTAAGAAAGCAAGCAAAAGAAAGGGCAGGTCCCTGCTGGTGGTGTTTCAGGCTGCGTGCTATTTCATCAGTACCACCCCACAGCAGTTGAAAACAAAGCTGCTTAGCACACATTTATACATTTAACAAAGTACAGGAGTGTCCCAGAAATCACAGCTACCATTGCTTCCCACTCAGCCATACTTGCATGGTGTAACCTGTGCTCCCCACACTTCACACAGCTGAGATTACGCCTTTCACAAGCAGATACGGGCTTCCTCGGCCTGTGCTTCAGACAGGCTTTATCGCAAGCACTGCTCATGTGAGTTCAAGCTAAGCGCTGCCAAGAGGCAGGATACATCAGATTGGTCTTAACACCACGTGAATGTTACTACAGGCCGAGGTGCTTCGCTGAATTATGAAGCCTTTGATTTTGGGAGTGAAGCTGGAGGTGGATTGGAAGGAATCACCTTTTCTCATTACCTATTTGCATAACTAACCAGCAGTGAAACCATGAAAGGGAGAGACTTTTCAGGAACCTCATTCCCATTAAAGCAGCCAGATTTTAAAACCCAAGCAAACACAAGTAGAAAAACGCATACCAAGTTTGAAATCTTTTGTCCAGTATATTCAAAGTCAACTGCTCACAAATACCACACAGTTTAAATTCAGAGAGATTCAGTTTAGGAGTATGAAATTAGACAGGAAAAGCAGCTTTTCCCTGACCACTCTGGGAAGTGATCTTTGAGATGTTGAACACAGAACTGACCAGAGAACATTCACTCTCAACAAACTGCACCCCAGCACCCAGTAATATGAGCAGCAGAGTGAAATAAAGTGATCAGAATAATGTCAGCAACTCTTTGGCAATGTTTGTTTACGCTTCATTGTCATTAAGTGGGGAAAAGAGTTGTAAAAGAACTCTTTGTGCGCTTGTTTTCTGCCATCCATCACAAGTCTTACATCTATGTAATAGCTATGAAGACATTTCAGATTGGATCGTTGTTGCCTTTGTACCTTTAAGCTTTAGGTTTTGAAGTGGGTTTCTTTATAATGCTATAATTTAACTTCAACAGTTTGAAATGCAAATGGCAGCAGGATGCAGCCAGCATATGCTGTGCAGTCCACAGAGGGCAATTATTCATTTCCCAGTGGATACCTTTTCTTGTGGTGACTGGCAGTGGGGATTTTTGTTTGCTTTTTAATATTATTATTATTATTACTCAGGCCTTTTATTTAAAACACTGCTCGATGTCTGTTTCTCAATACACCTGCTGTGCCAGTGATTACACTGGGTTTAATGGCATGTCTATCTTGGGAGAGCAGAGCCGAGCGTAAGAGGGGACTGGAAAGGACAATAAACCAGCTGTTGAATTTGCACATCCCTAAATTCCACTTGAGGAGTTGTCACCAATCTGCTTGGGTGGGGCAAGGGCCATGGTAGTACCTGGTCTGCAGCCTGGTTCTGACACTAACAAACTGTTGGTTGTGGTGGTCTTGCTCAAAGCTGTCACCATCAAAGCAGCTCGTACCCTGCACACCGAAATGGTGCAGGGAAGATACAAACCAGGATGTTTTCCACAAGTGTCTTGTACTGACCTAATTTTTCTGCTGCTGAAGATAATAATGGCCACGAAGACAATGAAACTCCAGCACTAAAAGCACCATCAGAGCTAACAGAAATGTTTCAACAGTGAATTTCCAAAACACTCATTGAAAACCTTTCCTAGAAATCTAAACCGTTAGTACAGGCGAAAGTCAATGGACAAATTTCACACCTGATCGCAGATTTTGACAACCTGTCAACTTGGACTAGGAAAACAGATGCACAATGGTAAAGCAAATACACAACTAACTGCAGATCTGCAGGAGTGGAACTAACTATGCTTTATTCCAAGCCTGACATTTTGATTTTGGTCCTTACCTCAAAAAGGCCAAGTGTAGAGATGGGTTTTTGGCTTGTTCCACGCATAAACTGCCCAGTCCTCTGTAGCTGGATATTCATCAGACAGCAGCAGGGTGAAACCATCATGCAGACAGCAGCAAGCTCCAGGCTTTTAAAAAGAATAAAGAAAGACAAATCAACCAAACTTGTTTTAAATGAAATATGAGCAGGTCAATCCCAAACCACTGCTACCTAAAGCACTACCCCACTTTGTGCATCTGTGCACAACTTCTTTGTGCGTTAGAAGCATTTCTAATGGCTTCCCATCAGCAGGCAACAGAAATCCTGCTTTTTTCTAGGATTAAGCCCCAACTCTGCAGTGTAATCCACATAAGTGCATCCTTGTATCTATTTAGAGCCCCATCAATTTTAGCAAACAGGAAGCGAGACAAACGAAACCACTTTTGGAGATTCACCCAGAAGTTTTCCTCATAAAGGAGGTCCAAGTTCAAACAGAGCACAATACTGTGATAAGTGAAAAAACAGGGAAGTTTCATAGGCTATGGAACATGTGTCATCAGAGCTGGGAGCTAAGTTACATGTTAAAGATGGGAGCCAAAGAATTGGTTAGGAATAAAGATTTGATTCTCATAATACTTGGACAACTCTTTATTAAAGAGTATTCCATTAACTGCATCGTTTCTAAGCAGCCTCTTGTCATACTTGAGGCTGAAGTAGTTACTGCAGAAAGATCAAGGGTTAAGCTGCACAACAGCACAATACTTGAAAAGAAATAAGAAAAAAAAAAAGCTTCATCCAATTTTTTTTTCCAAATTAAATCAAGAACATTCATAATTAGTTTTTACACCGGAGACATCTAGTGGGAAATGAAAGAACTGAAAGAGCCATAAGCTGCCTTCGCCCTTTCATTAATATTTGCTCCCAAATGCAGGTCAAATAAATCTAACTCACAGTTTGAAATGAGTAGCTTTAAAACTGATGTATTACTTTCTGCTCGGATTTATGCCACCCATTTTGGATAATTACTCCCAATGCTTTTTCCCTATTGTATTCAAAGCTTCTTCATCAGAATGAAACGAAGTTGGGTTCCCTGAGATCTCTTCTGCTTTTAATAACTTTTCATTCCCCACCACCCCTCCCCATCCTCAAAGATTACTTCCACCTTTGCAATTTTAAGGCAACTGGATTTGTGCTGGCAGACACCTTGCACTCATTTATGGATGTGTTTTGCTCCCTGCTATGATAAATCGCATTGTCCAGGCACACAGTAAAAGACCATCCTGCCCTGCACCCGAGGCCCTGATCCTGTGAAAGTGTACCCATGTGCTCGAGTTTATACTCTGACTAAATTCACTGCAGCACACGTGTAAACCCTATTCTCACAAGATTTATGCACATCAATAGGGTTACGCACAGTGCATAACGTTAAGCACGTGTTTAAATCATTATGAGACCGGGAATGAAACATGTGAAGGGTGAAAGGGAAAATAGCTGGACAGAAAGGGGAATTAACGTGCGCCGTCACGGCAGTCACATCCACAGGGCGCAAGGCAACAACTGCCCAGAGACACTTGAACTAGTTCTAGCTCTTGCTGTTGCAGGAAGTGGTTTAGTCCCACTAGCAAGCCACTCTGCTTAGCCTAATCTACCTACTAGGCAGAAGGGTGAATTAGCCCGGGCAGAGCAAACACCAACACAGCTCCACAGCTTTTAGAGCATGCTACCCACCATTTATAGGCTGTATTGAGAGGTAACAATTGTGTAACTTTGGATCTGCTTAGTGCTTAACCTTCCACTTCCCAGATACATCCAATTGCTTCATTATGGCCCTTCTTTTGTGGAAGCTGTGTCTCTGCTCGCTGCCCTCCCCCTGAAAACACCATTCAGGTGCCTCCAATCTGCATTAACAAACCCCTTACAGCTGGTGATGTGCAGCACAAAATGGGGATGAGGGGATGGACAGACAAGATGGTTGCCCCAGTTCAGCTTACTCAAACCCAGCAGCACCCAAAGAAAACAACCTTACCCAATTCTCCAAGTTTTCATAGTAAAATCAAAACCCAGCCCTCTCCTTTTGCTGTTTTACACACACCACAGAAGCAAAAACATGCCCTCTAAGGCCTTCAAAGCTCAAATTACTGTTTGAAATTCATTCAAAGCCCAATGTCACATTTAGCTGAGACCTTTGCTGACCAAACACCCCAATACCCCATTGTCCTAATTGCAAGCAGAGTGAAATGAGACCTTGGATTGAAATCTAGGGAGGATCTCAAGGCTATGAACCCAAGGGGAGTTAAACCAGGAGTACAATGAGCAAAGCCACCAGAGACTACTTAAGGTACTACTTGAGAAACAGCTTATCATGTCTGCAGACAGCATCTGAGAGCATTTTGGACCACAATTTTTCCTTTCCACTACATAGCCAGCAAAGCTTCATAGCTGCTCTAGAACCTTCCAGGAAGGAAATAAGCCTAGGCAGCAAAGTGAAGCCAAATGAGACTCAAAGCAGGATAAGGGCAATCTTGCTATTAGGGCTGGAGTGTTGTTTCATTTCAGGCATTACTTAATCAGGAGAATCACTTCAAGGAACAGATTCCATGAAAAGCTAAAGAGCCCCCCTCATACAGAGAGCTTTCAGCACCCACTGAGCAGAACCATTATCACCCCAAAACATCGCTTTCTTCAAACACAAAGCAACACCCTGTCCCGTTCCCCAAACACAAAGCAGGATTTACTCTAAGGTAGTTCTGGAGTCACAGTTCCAAAACTACATTCATTACATCACAGAAATGGGGAAAAAGTAAATATAAAAAGAAATTTGAGGGGAAAAACCCCTCAAAGAACTTACCTGCTCCCTGCAAAGCCCAGCACCACTGAGCTGGTGCTGAGGAGGAGGCTGCAATCAGGGTAACTAAAAGCACCTGAGCCCAGGCTGCTCCACAGGTGACCCATCAGGTCACCACACCCCTGCCCTCTCTTGTTCCCTCTGGCTTGCCTATTCCTTTCCTTTAGGAAGAGGCTTGGCTGTGAAAGGCACCCATGAGGCTGGATAGCCACAACATTCAAGCAGAAAGGAAAAAAATGAGAAGTAGTTTGTTTTCTGAATTTTAGCATAGCTGGAGTTAGAACCACCTTATTTTTGTGAAAGGGAGAACGAAAAACATTAATCTTTTGGATTTATCACAGTAATTTAATCATTACATTACTGTTTTCTATGCATGTCTACACGTTTCTCTGTGTTCAATCTCTCTGAAAGGGACAGGCCAGCATGCCCCAATGTTCTTTTTCTCTACGCATAGGAACTGCTAAACCTTTAAGAAGCTCTTGTCTGCAGAGATTCAGTGTTTTGAGGTGTGGCTTTCCTGCAGCACATCACTGAGGAAGTGCACACCCTTGGCAACCATGGCAGTTTGATTTCTAGACTTGTTTATTTCTTTGCTTCCCTTCAGCACATTCAGTGAGTAATTGTGAAGGGAAAACTTGCCCTCTCCCAGAATTAGAAGCTCTAGGATATTTGAAACACTATAAAGACAAAACAGCAAAACCAATCACATTTGCTTACTTCTCTGGAGAGATGCACTGAAGTCCTGCCAGCTAAAAGGAGAAATAACCCTAACGATTAAGAAGAGGCTGTGTGGAGGGGAAGACAGGAGCATACACTTCACTCAGGCAGGCAGACTTGTTCCACCTGCTGAAGAGAGGAAATGAAATTTATTCCTCTTTGTTTTGTTTCTTCCCCCATTAGAGTTAATGCCCTGTATTCCCCATCCCCACCTGCTGGTAGCAGAGAATTACCTATTTTCTAGGCTGGATCATAGAAGAACATGTTTAAAATGAAAAGCGAAGTTGTGCGATGATGGGAAGAAGGGGGAAATTTGAGAAAGACAGAGAGCATTGCTCAAGTACAGCTTTGGCTGAAGCAGGTAAGATGCATGTGGCACTTGGGCTTAATCCTGAGTCAAACTGGCCATTTGCCACAGGCCAGTGTGACTTGCAGCTGCCCTGAATGAAAGCAGGAAATTGCATTTTTGCTATTTATAAACTGTGAGAGTGAAAGAACATGAATACTGTATGCCTCTCCCAACCCCATCTGTGGGGTTTTAAGTATCTTATAAGCCACACTAGATTGTACTTCTCAGATCTTATAAGGGCATTCTCATCATACCAACCCGTAATATGCTTCAGCATAATTGGACCATTGTCTTTCATTATATATATATAAATTCCCTTTTGGGTCATAGCTCCTGTACAGCTCAAACTGAAGCAGTCCTCTTTATTCCAAGTAGTAGGAGGCAGAGCTGGTTTATCTGCATTGACTCTGTCACCACATGGCTCATTGAATGACAGTCACAAAATCCTAACAGAGGTTACAGGGCTTATTTTCTCCCACATTTATTCACACCTTGTACTTTAATGTGTATCAAAACCACAACATAAGAACAAAACATCCAATCTCAGGCAAAGTCAGCCTAACACAGCAAGGTTTCTCTCTCTAAATCAACCCAGTTTCTATGCAGCCTAATGCAAAGATGTCTCAGGAAAAAAGAAAATCTACCTGCCACTGCAATATAGATGTTGTGGCAACACAAAAGATTGGGTCTGCTTCCACTGCAAATGTGGGCTTACTCCACCAGCTGAAGTTTAGTACCAAAAATCACTTCTTGCTGCAAACAAACATGAAACCTAGGCTGGCTTTATAGTAAGATGTATTCATACAGATCCTATGCCTTGTAAAGGGGTGGCTCGAGTTGCAAGCAAGACCCTTTAATCTGTAGCATTCCTGTTCATTGCAATCTCCCAGCTGAGTCACCTACGAGGGTTTACAATGAAGCACTAACTTACCCAAGTGAGTTGTTCAAACAGATTATGGCTTGTCACATTTCCCCAAGTAGAGCACCGTTAACTAGAGACACCGGTGCTGCACTACCTACCAGCTGGGAAAAGAATTTAGTTTCTACTAGATATTGTGTAGTTCAGCTTTTCAGGGCAGGCAAATTCCCCCAGGGATGGGAAAAGCTACAGCTGATGAGCACATCCATCAAAATAATAAAAAAGGCACTTGTGATTGTACCAAGATAATGACAGGAAATAAAAAGATTTCATGCACTGAACACTCCAGTATATTTAATCAAAGAGCTGCTCCAAAGGGGCCTCCTAACTAAGAACTTGCTGTGGCATTTTGGAGCTTCTGAAATGGGATTCCTCCTGATACTGTTGTGTTTGGTAATCAACTCTATAACCTTTGTAAGCCTCAAGTCCTTCCATGTCAGATCCTTTTGCCTTGTCTAGAGGAGGCTTATTAAGACTTGTGTCTCCAAAGCAACTGGAAGAGGGACAATGCCATTCCAGAGAAGTGCTAACTAGCACTTCTCACAACACCTTATAGTCAGACCCCACAAAACACGCAAATGTACTTTGCAAGCAAATGAAGAGATCACCATCACTTAAAGAGGTTGGAAACTAACCTCACGTTTTTCATAGATGGAGTGAAATGGGAAGAAGTCACAAAGGAAAGGAGTTGCAAGAGACTATCATCTGGCTCCATCCCTGGCAGTGGTCCAGGCCAGGCTGGACAGAGCCCTGGGAGAAATAGTCTAGTGTGAGGCGTTCCTGCCCACGGCAGGAGGCTGGTACTGGTGATCTTAAGGTCCTTTCCAACCCAAACCATTCTATGATTCTATGAGCTGACTTCTGTCCTTTTCATTCTGGAGGCATTCTTTTAAGAGAAGCCTGCAGGTATCTACAGTCTCTTTATCCTCTATCTGGCAACATCCACTTTCAAACTGTATGGCCCCTCTGCAGAAAAGACCCAGAAAACTTTCCAGCCCGGTCTCTCAACCACTGCCTACCAGAACAATGCAGAGGGCATCAGGCTGTGGCTGAGCGTGCTTGATGCACCTCTGAACGCGCTAGAACAGAGTCCAAAAAAGGAATGATTACCTCCCTACACTTAAACATCCATTCTTTCTTAATAAAGTATCCCAGGCATTGAATTTCAGGCCCAGTGTTTTCAGGGATATACGGGTTATTTCCAAGCCGAGCTATTACCAGTGCATGCGGTGACATTAATATGAGTAAATGCAGGAAAAAGGATGAAATAAAACATATCCTATTGAAGGAAATGAGAGCTCCTTAAGAAAGAAAAACACACATAGGAAAGACGTGGGCATATCAGGATACAAATGGGACACTGGGGAGTGCCGGATTCCACAAGCATGATGTTATTGAAGTGTTTGATACCAGAGTAAGCACCTGCAGATATGAATTACATCCTTGTTCAGACCACTAACATCGGAGTACTGACATCTCAGGAAGTGCTTATGTTATATTTCAAATCCCACTGCCAACTGCATAAATATCAAATAAATCAATCATAGATATAAAAGACATTATCTGAAGGACTTTAAAAAGCTGAACAAGCCACCTCTCTTCTCAAAGTAGTATCACCCTTAAATCATTTGGGTTTTTTCTGTCAGCTGCACCTGAAGAGCAGGATCATTAGTGCAGTTGACCACCAGACATTAAATGCTTCACCTCTGCACAACGAGCTAGAATTGGTATAGAAATAGTTAAAAGCACTAATAGTTCAGTGATCATGTCAAAGCTTTGCACACTGTAAATGTACCTTCCACTGCCTTCAAGAGGTGCTCATTTCATTTGAACACACATAGAAAGTGAGGCACCAAACTATGAAAAGACTTGTGCGATATCGAGAGAGCTCTGGAGCGTCATGAGCAACACAAGCTCAGGACCAAGAGACCTCATACTGCTTATTAGACCTCACAGTCTTTATTTTCAGTGTATTTTAAGAAGTTATTTACTACTAAAGATCATGCAATCTAGATAGATTCTTGTGATAGAAAGGCATTACCAGCTGCATGTATTGTGTAAAAAACTATTAGAAATAGACTCTTAACATAGTTCATCTCATTTTAAAGAGATCTTGGGAGTTAACTGAAAGTGTCTATTCTGTGCCAAAAAAAATCAGGCTTTCAGTTTCTGCTCCAATTTTAAGTATTTTTAAAATTAAAAGCTACAAATTTCAACACAAATACAAAAAAAAAAAAAAAAATTAAGGATTGTAATAATTCTATGAGCTTTAATAAACTGATTTTACCAGTGTTCCGGAATTTTGGATTTCTTTTCAATTTAAGAGTTCCCCATAAGCTCTTATTAGATTAATTTGTTATTTTTCCTTGCTTGCCATGGGAGTCTTAATTACTATTGCTTCAAATACAGCTACAATCCATCTTAATCAAGCAGGGCCTATTTGGCCATAGAGCTAAATCATCTGGTGCAATCAGGTTCTCGAAGTTTGTTCTGCAGTGAAAAACTGGCTGAGGAGGGAAGCAAAAGTAAATCTATCTTTCTACATTTTGTTAGCAGCAGCAGGAAGATGAAGTGGCCATTCTACTAGAGATGTGTAAGAGCTCAGAGGTTTTAAGCAGAAGTATATTCTGAGCCACAGAATGTGGGAGATGTGAAGACAAAAAAAGGGCCTGCTGCAAAAGAATTGAATTGGAGTGAGTTTGTGAATTAAAATGGAAGCATCAGTAGAATCGAAACTTCACTGCTGGTGATAATCTCTCAAACTCCTAAGAACACCAGTTCTCCACCCCCAAGTAATTTCCAAGTAGAAACCTTTACAGGACTACTGTTTTCCATGGAGTATACAGGGAACTCCAGCAGAAGTTCTGGTCCAGCCTCATCGCTGTTATGCTGAGCTTTGTTTCCAGAGAAGAACACTAACACGAGTTGTCAGTCACTCTGGAGAGAGCAGAAGTACTGCAGATCAAGCAGCCCGTCTGCTGCCTTAGAAGCTTCAGACGCTCTGGGAATTGCCAGTGTCAGAAGTCTGCACTATTACTGAGTTTGCTACATTTGTTCTGTGGCAGAAATGAAACATCTGAAGAGGGGGTTGCATCCTGGTTCTGGACAACAGGTCCAAGTGCTGAACTTACAATCACACCTTTTTCCCCTACTGAAATAATACAGTACCATTTGGATGTTCCCATCTAGAACCCACTGCAGCCAACAGGATTTCCTCTGATTTCAGTATGCTTCAGAACAGTCCCTCTCTTCTTACAATCTTATATATCTACTACATACTTTGTTATTAAATGATTTCATAACCTGAATGTAGCAGCAATATGCACAGTGTATTTAGTGTGTGTTTAATATGATTACATAATTTTAATGGGTTTTGGCAAAAGTCTTTTAAAATCCTGTGCCAATTTCCAGTCACCAGTTTCAGTGCCAGTCCCTCAGCAACTGGACCAGCTTCATGATCCTTCTTGTTAAGAACAGTCTGCCTGGGACAAAACACTTCTTAGAAAGATTAGATATCAAATAGGAATAGAGGAAGCATGTGTAGGGCTCGACCTTCTTTTATGGTTACAGAGTACCATAGCCTTTGAGTTAGAAAACCAAACTCAGTTAAGCTTTTGCTTGGTTTTGTTTTGCTAAGGAGCGATTGAAGGTGCCAAACAAAAGATTTGAGATACAAAAAGTCTCTCTTTGCCCATCAAACAAATCTGGGGCAGTAGAATGTGGTTTGCCCAAAAAAACAATGGGAACATGACTCAGAAGTAGCACAGGAGGCTCCTTTCTAATTCAGCTCCATGGTCCAATTCAAGCCACTCATGAACCACCAAGTGTCCCGCCCTGGGGCATGTCTGTCCAGGAAGTTATTCTTCTAGGTTTTATTGTTTTATTGTTATTCTTCTAGGTTTTATTGGTTTTATTTTATATCCTGTAAGGTAATTGTGTGAATTAAAGATGAACAGTTCAAAACTTTCCAAATCCAACTTGCTTTTAGCTCCTTAACTGTCTGTCTGCAAAACAAACTGTGGACCTTTGTGAAACTGCAAGCTCATCAGCTTTTACCAGAGCAAGGAGAAAACTCAATCTGTTGATCTGCACTACTAAATTTAAGGAGTATACTTCTCCTTGTTCCAAGATTTTCATTTGATATAAGAAAACTTATCAAGTGCCTCCTTCATTGATTGGGAACCAGTCCACACACAAGAGGAAACACAATACTGTTAGAGCTCAGACATTGTTCATATGGCTGCTGTCCCATTGATCCACCCAAATCCCTCCATCCTCTGGTCTTCCCGAGTTTTTTCTCCTTTTAATCCTCAAAAATCCCCTAAATTCAGAGTTTCCAAGGAAGCTTTCATAATTAAGATTTCATTAGCAGTTTGCATAGAAAACAAATTCATCTTTACTGTCAAAAATGAGACATTCCACTCCTAGAGCTCAGTTCACAAGATACAACAAGAGTGGGGAAAATTGTAATGACAAAAACAAAGGAGGTTCAAGTTTCCTTAAAAAAAGTCGAAGCCCCCCCTCCCCTCTGTTCAGCTGCAGTAAGGTGAAAGGCTAAATGTGGACAGAATGGTAATATGTAAGCGGTTTCTAAGCTTTCTGGTGGGAATACTTAACAGCCTAAGTATGTTTCCCCTGGAGACCTTCTCCACCATTTGGTCCAATTTCTTACTCCAAGAACTGAACCAATTCATGATGTAATGCTCCAGGGAAAACATTCCTCTTGAAAAAGAGCATCTTCCTAGGGAGAAGTTTGAAGAAAACATCTTAATATTGTTTAAACAGCTTTTGGCACGGTCATAGTAGTTGTGCTGCATTCAATACTGAAAGCAGAAGAAAGGCAGGCTAAAAATATGGAAAAAGAAAGGTTCAGGATTTGGTTTAAGGCTTTTCCTCAACTACCACCCCAAGTCCCAAGCCCTTGCTGATCCTTAGTGGAATGAGAAAAAAGAAATGTTCAGAAGCAGAGATTTTCTTTGCTAATAAAAGAAGACCAATTTAAGACATTGGCTATTCTGTGTCTCGGTGTGAAACCACATATTTAATTCTGCCTAAAGCCTTATCATTTGCTTTAACTCTTATACAAAGGTGCAATTCCAAGGCACTTAACGCCACAGATCTGGCTGTGACTGGGGCTCTTTGTGGTTCTATTAAAAGGCAGTATGCCAAACATTAGAGAAAGCTCCTGGCAGCAACGCTCTCATTTGCTTTGCTGGCAGTATCTTGCATATGCAGCCATTCTCTGTGCTACCAACTGCTCTGCTTCCCCCTTTGGATCCTCACTCTGTGAGGCAGCTTTCATTTCTGTGACGGGCAAGAGCTGGACATTGGAGTATTGAGCAAGAGGAGGAAGCATTGGGATGAGAGAAGCAAGGTAAGCGAGGCAGAGCAGAGGGCAGAACACTCCAAAGCCGAGGCAGTGGAACACAGTGCTTCTGCACTGGGAAACTCCACGAGGTACAACAGACCTCTTCTCCTGTGAGAAGCAAGCAGCAGGAGATGCAAAAGAGAATTATAAAGTGAACATTTGGGTTTATATTCCATAGCTTATATTATGTAATGCTTGGAATTAAGATAAGCCACACGTACATTACCTACTTCTTATATAAACCTTACAGAGCTTTCCTGGCAAAACACACCATGGGTACTTAAGATTTTTTTTTCTTGAGGGGAGAACAAAATGAGCTTTTTATTCATCATTCATATTTGTACCCACACGATTACTTTTTCCTCAACAGCACACACGAGGATACTCAACATATCCAAGTCACAGTTCAAATGTGAATTCCCTTACAACCCTAATAGATTTGCATTAGTGAGTATTATTTACTACCAGAACTCAGCATTACTGACCTTCTGAACATGGAGCTAAGTGCATTTGTTTGTCCAAACATTTGTGTGACACAGGCAGGTTATTTATGACAGAGTGAAACAGGGCTTCAAAAGTGTCTTCAGTATAACTCAGTTGATTTAATGGATGGTGATATTAGATCCGTATTTTTCACCCTGATGTTACAAGTGCTGGCAAATAAATAGAAGACAAAGAGCAAGGAAACTGAGTAATTTAATTCAAGAACAGAACAAAACCCAACCCAGATCATAGAGGGGACAAAAAGCCCAGTTTTCTGATTCCTACCTTGTTTATTCACTACATCATTAGGGCTTTGAAGGAATGATGTCTACCCACTCCTGCAACTTCTCTTTGGACTTTGAGACCCTGTTTGTAATCTTTAATGATTTGATCACAATGATGTAAAAAATGAGGCTCATTTATGTACTTAAAATCATTAAGAGTTTTGCATATTATTTGTTCAAAGGGATTTTTGCTTGCAAGTTAGGATTGTGAGAAATAACAGCTTTGGTTGCAGGGTGGAGGCTGTCTGGGCATGGTGGCTCTTCTGATCATTTAGCTTTACTCCTTCACAGCCTAAATTAAAAATTGTTATTATTAATATGGCTCTTCGGGCTATAAAACATGTTTCACAACGTGAAGTATCCCAGTAACACAGTGCAAGGACTTCACTCAACTGCTTGGCAATGCTAAAACCAGCAGTAAGCCTGCACCATAACAGGGTATTTAAACTAAGCTTTAGTGGAGCTGGAAGCCAGTGCATAGCAGGCTCCTGTCAGGAGGTTTTACTGCTGGTTTGCTGGGTCTTGTGTTTGTACATTTTTCAGTTTCTTGGTAGACCCTAAACTTTTAAAGCCTTGAATCACAACTATTTATCACCCATCAGGGAGCTCCATAAAATGTATTTTCCTTCAGAGAGACTATTCTCATTAAAGAAAAAACTAATTTAAAAAAGAGACAATATGTATTTTTTGAACTCTCCAATCTAGCCCAACTAAGAGGGATTCCTAAAACTAAATACTATGAGCCACAAAAAAATTAATGCCACCTGCAAGCTGTAAATATGTGTATTATTTAATTTTTTCCAAGTATTTTCTTTGGCTGTTACATTCAGCTGAACAAGGCCTAAAAATTGTCAAACTGAATTCTTGTTTCAGAGTAGAGCTCTAACTACTGCCAGTTTGAGTGAAACACACATCCAGGTTTAGGGAATATGTTTTATTTATTTTGGCTGCAGTGCAGGGTAGAACATTTTCCATCCCATCCGAATGCAGTCAAAAAGGTTTTGAAATATTGCACAATAAAAGCCATTCATTATATCTGTCTCCTCTCCCTTCCAAAAACAGAACTGGCTGACCAGTTCCAAATCTGTGCAGGGGGCAGGAAGATGGGAGTCAAGGGGTCACTGGAAATAACCCAAGACTAACACCAGGTTTTTCAGGTTTGAGTTAGGGAATATGTTCCATGCCCTCATTCCCAGCGCGCATAGGTTTTTCTTCTTCCCCCTCCAAAGCCTGGCTAAAGTAGTTCATTGCTCTGTTATGCACAATTTACAGGACTTAATTACAAAACTAATACATTAGCCTTCTTGTCTGTAAGTCACAGGCACAACTTCATCTTTCCTCCTGGGACACAGTGAAATTAGACCTTACCTTGTTTCAAGTGAAAGCATTTTGATTTGCACTGTTTACCTCCTCCTCTTAAAAACGTGCAGTTTGAAGGAATACCCAACTACGCTTTACTGGTTTAGACTGATTTCCATTGCTCACCTACCTGTTAGCAGCTTGAAAACAGGATTCTTTCACTGCCCACTCCTGCTCTGTGTGCTTAAGCTACACTCGACATACTTCAGTGGTGTTTTTTTTCCTTCCTCTCTCCATTTCCCTGTACATGGATCTAACAATGCTTTTCTGTTTGCTTCCTTAGGCACAAATCAGTTCATCACTAAGCTCCTTTCAGGTTTAAGTGAAGTATCAGAGTGCTAAAAGATTCAGAGTGAGAAGTGGAAAAGTAAAACACAATTTTTTTTGTGCATTTCTAAACAGCAGCTAGAATAAATGAACATATAATAGTGAATTTTATATGCTACACTTAGGTGGTTCAGTATGCCCTTCTATGGCCCAATTAGAAGGAAGTAGAAAACAATAAGCTGAAGACCAGGTAAAGCTTTAGATACAACTGACGTTTAAGAAAAAAAGCAGAAAAAACATACAATTCTTGTTATTTTCTTTCCCCCACTTACCATGAATGTCAGCTTGGGGAAACTACTTCCATTAACTCCCATGTGAGAAAACTTGGTCATATCCTCTCCACTTCTGTGCATCTTCATTATGACAAAGTACTGGCATAAGACAATTCCTGGAACACACTAACACTTTCCCTTTAAAATTTCCTGAAGAATTCAGGTGTGTGTATTGTTGTTCTTTGTATCTCCACCTCACTTACATTAAGCAAATTTAAGCAAAGACCATGCCAGCTGTGAAATACTCTTTACACTCAGAACTCAGCTGAGAATGTATGAAGCCTGCACTTCACAGGATAGCACAAGTGATCTGTAATTACTCTTCCCTATTAACAACATCATAATTACAGAGCAGCAAAATAATCAGTCTTTCTAGGAGCTACACTTGTCCTTTCTGTCAGTCAGAGCATGATAATTACACAGCAATCTGGTAAATGCAATTATTGGGCAATATACACTTAGTGCTATTATCCTACTTGAAGCCATTTAAAGCCTATACAATACAGCACTCAACATTAGTTAAGTACATTTAAACACAAAGTAAGCTTTGTAACAACCTTCTAAAGAGAGGAAAAATACTCCCTTTAGAAGAGCAGGGAGAGAGGTGAGACTGGCCAACACCACAGGTTTTTAGATGCCACTGTAACACACAGACTGACATGGAGCTCAATACTGCACAAAGGCAAAACAGTGACCCAAGTCGAAGGCGGCAAAGACTAGCAGTGGAAACCACATCAACAGCTGAAAAGCAGGACTCCAAACTTGGAATATCTCAACACATGTCTGCACTGGCACACAATATACCTTGAATTTAATTCCTACACCCCAATATGGCAATGCAGCCAAGAGGTGTCTTCAGAAAGCTCTTCTGTTGACTGAATGGGGATAGTGAAGTTGCTGGTCGCTCAAAGGTTAATGTTAACTCACTTGTAGAAAAGCAAACCTGTAAGTGGAACAGCTTTGTTTAATCTGCTGCTACACTTCCTGTATAACAGCAAAGACACCAAGTTGTAGGTTACACCACTTCAGGAGTCTATACTCTTCTGAGGAAGAGCAGTGAGTCACTCGAGATCTGAATGTTTCACATACTAAGAGCATTTTGCTAGCCTTGCATGAAGAGCTCTCTCCCAAGTGCCCCAGTTCCTTCCCATGCTAAACAGCCCCCAGTGTTAGCAGTCCTCCAGGTCCCTATTCCATGACAGATTCTACCTCAGGTCTTAGTTATTAGGCAAGTCCCAAATCACCTCTTGCAACCCTAATCTCCAGCAATCAGAAAACACAGCCAGAAGAGACCTCAAGAGGCCATCCAGGCCCTATCCCTACCCCTAGGAAGGATCATATGTCATTCCTGACAGATATTTGTTTAATCTGTTCTTAAAAGCCTCCAGTGATGGAGATTCCACAACTTCCCAAGGCAATGTATTCCCATGATCAACCATCTCTGCTGCTGGAACTTTTTCTTAATGTTTAACAGAGACATTTTTTCTTCTAATTTAAACACATTATTTCTTGTCCCATTCAGTACAGATATGGAGAACAGATTATTACCTCCCCCTTACAACAATCTTCTGCATAACTCAAGACTCCTCTCAAGTTCTCTCCAGGTCAAGTCCCATTCACTGCAACCTCTTTTTTTCTCTGTAGGATCCAGCTTCATCCTCATGCAAGCCATGCAAACTGCCATCAAGCATCTACATTTAATTCCTAACAGCCCTTTCCAACCTGGCAAGTTCTGCCAGGAAGAAAAAACAAGCTTTGTTTTCTTCTCCCTATCCTTGCTCTTCTCTTTCTGACTTGACTTCACATCTGCAATGCACTTAGCCTTCCCACTCAAGAAACCTCAAGAGAGAATTCTCTTCTAGGGCTGCAGCAACTGATGCATAGGACAGCAATATCAGGAAAAGCATGTTCCAGGCAGCACTTCAGGTTAAGCCCTCAAGCATCACACACAGCTGCAGTGCTCTACAACGTTTAAGAACACAGCATGATTTCTGTATAGGAAGTCATACCTGAATACAGTACAGCAGTTTTACTTTTCCAAATTCATTTCAATGTGCAGCACAGTTGTTGGCTTGATTTTTTAAATGTTAGAAGTAGCAGCTATTATTAGTTTTCATTTCAAGGAGCAGCTATTATTAGCTTTTATCTCCAGGAGCTTTAAAGTTGAACCTTAGCTAGTATGTTATGTGTATGTTATATTAAACCATAAAAGCTCATGTCAGACTGCCCTCTCCTGGTAAAGCAACAGACTGCACTGCAACCGGTTCAACCCAAGGAACTACCACTCTTCCGTCTCCCAGTCTAAAACAGTCACTGAGACACAAGAGAAAACCCCAAAATAAAACATCAAGAAAACTGGGTTTGGGGGTTTAGATGTTTAGATGTGACACTGAGGGACACGTTTAGTCGTAACTTGGCAGCGCCAGGTAACAGATTTGATCTTACAAGTCTTTTCCAACCAAAATGATTCTGCAGCAACTTCAGTAACATTTCTAAAGCGGCATAAGATAAACAGCATTTAAGTAGTGAAGTTCCTTTCAAGTTGCCTTTAGGAGTTCTTGTGTTGGGACAAACTGATGATGGCTGCAGAGAAAAGTAAAACACGCATAAAAAAATTAAACTGCTCCGTTTGCTTTTAACCATTGTAAAAGCAGCCAAGCACATAAAGTATTTTATTCCATATCAAGAATGTTAAAACCAAGGTCACAGCAGAGATCATTTGCAATGGAAAGCTATTTCCTTCAAGCTGGCACAGGTATTTCACTACGGCTGAAACACAACAGGATGACAAATGAAAGCAACAGCAAATGTGTAAGGAGACCACCTACAGTCATCACTTTTTATTACACTGTTCAGACTAGAAAAATGAAAACAGCAAGACAACAGGTCAACTTCTGGAGGATACGCACGGTTCAGTAACACACCAAAGCTTGGACATGGCCAGAGATGGAGCACAGCTTTACCGTATGATGAATGTTTCACTCTCCTTAACCAATTTATTTTTTAAATTAGTTTTAAATACAGCAAAGATTTTTTTTTTCCTAATGTCCAACCTTCACAGCAGAAACAGAATTCATTAATTCTAACACAAACCTCAGCCTTACTTATAGGGCCTCTTGCTCATGCCCAGAAGGTAAAGCAAAGTCTTTTCAGAAGATGGTAACAGCTTCCCCGCCTTCTACTCCTCTCCTTCAAGCCAGAAGTGATTTCTTTCTTATTTGCAGAGCATCTCAAGGGGTCTTTTTAGGATAATTTTGAAATCTGGAAAAAAATTCATGCAGATTTCAAAAGCAATTTATAAGGAATGCTCAAGCACATGGGAAACATCGACACTTCAAGCAATTCTAGCTGGATGGGCACAACTTACACCAGTATAACTACTAAAGACAAAGTGACATTTTATCTACTTCAACTTCAACAATATAACAAAGGCTTCAGCTTGAATCCTGTTCTTTCAAAAGAAAGAGCTCTGTCTAGAAACTAACTTGTCACCACAGACTGTCTTTTTGAACTATCAAGTTCATTCCTCTTTATTGAGAGTCACACATTTGCTGACACATGTCCAGTTTAGCAGCTTCCTACACTTACTGTGCGTTTGAGTGGAGCAAATGGAGCAAGGTGGTGTGCTAAACGCATCCAGTCGAATCATCACAACCAGATTCCAAGGGCTAAAATCCCAGCCTGCTTTGCAGGTACCACAAGTGTAAAGATTTAGCAAGAAAATCCCAGACTACAATAACAAGTGTGCAAATGCACATCAATGTTATTTAAATTCTGTATATTGTCCTACTTGAGTTTTCTTCTAATACTAGCAGTGCTTCATTGCTATTGACCTGTAGAGAGCACAAAGTCTGAGAACATGTAAGCAAGGATGGAGACTATAGGAAAGAGGTGACATCAAATTCAGTTCATGATAGAAGTTTATCCTCCCGATTACGTGCCATGACTGTCTACCAGAGCAATGCTCTCAGCCAAACTAGGTCTTCCACACAGTTATGATCTTCAAGCATTTCAGGCATCAAGACAAGGAAAATCACTTCTAAGTTGTTCAGAAAAATTAAGAAAGAAATAGTAAGTAAGGAAACATAAGTGGGAGAGAGAAGAAAACAGTATTTAAGAGAGAGAACATGAGTCTAATACTGACCTTCACTTTAGACAATCAGATGAAACCTCACTAAATGTTAGAGTTATTTTCAAGAGGTATTTCTACTTCATCATAATGATTCTGGTTACTTCTGTCCTTCCTGTATACAGAATGTCTTCTGCTCCTTCTCCTGGTTGGAGAGTAAGTTCTTGTTTCTTGAGCTGTGAGTTCACACATGCTCTTCCTCCTCCATCTTTTGGAAGGCCCATCAGCAAGATTAACAGAGTCATTGTTCTTCCCTGGTGCTGAAAACTGGAGAAGATTTTGTCCTTTATGGTGAAGGTTCTTGGATTCTGTAAAGGTGGATGTGCTTATCGTCCTTCTCCTGGTTTTGCAAGCAGAAGCTACCAGGGGAGGGTTCTTCTGGATCTCACTGGGTACTTGAATCCATGCAAGTCCTTCAATTTCTGCACCTTTATGTAGTCTCATGCTGCGCCTCACTCTCCTTCCACCACTGTTATCACTCTTATTTTCTAGATGAGGAGCAGTGAAGATTTCTTCCACATTATAAGAACAAAATGGAAGACAGTTTCCAATGGGAAGAAAACGCAAGGCGCTGCTGCTTCTTCTTCTTCTTGGTGGACCACTTCTTGCAGAATCCTTTTGTGGACACTGAGTTCTTTGGGCATCTGCATGTCCGCTCATGTCCTGTTGGTGCAGAAGCTCCAGCCCTGTCAGCTGCTCTGCTTCATTGAGGAGATTTTCTTGTAATTTCCAATTTTCTATCAAGAAACCACTTTCTTTTGCCTTTTTTACATAGGCAGTCTCTTCACCTTGTTGGAAATGGTCAGATGTATCAAAAGCACACTTTGCATCTGGCACAACGTTTGAAAACTGGGGAAAGAAATTGTTTTTGTAAATATAGGCAACTGTAACCCACAAAAACCTGGTTCCAAAGAGCTGACAACTAAACACATGCAACTGTTTTCCTGCTAAGTCTCATCATTCACAAAACACCCCAACCAACACACTGAATCTTGAAGGTTGAAATGTGCGACTAAACTTCTGCTGAGTGAAGCATTGCTAAAGTTCTGAATACCTCCTTCAAAGGCTGGGGGTTCCACAGCCTCTCCAGGCAGCCTGTTCCAATACCGAATCACTCAGGTTTTTAATTCCCCAAAACATTATTTGTTTTATCCAACAACATCAAGCACAATTCTGATTTTCTAGCAGTATTCCTAAGCTTATCAGTTACCTCCTGTTCATTGCCAGACACAGGCTCCAGATCACCCTTCGGCACCTGAAACACGGTGTCACTGAGGCTGCTGGCTTCTCCTGCATCCAGGTCCTCAGAGCCTGAGGATGTGTGAACCGCACAGGTGTTTTTCCCTCCTATTTCTTCAGCCACCAGTTTCTGTTGAACATCCTTGTCAGAATTTCCAGATTTGGTATTCTCTAAAAGTACATCCTCTGGATTGGAATAAGCATGTGGTTACTTGACTCTAATGGTGA